ATAATTTCCTCTTATTATGCAAATCACAGTTGTATAAAGCTTTGCACGTTCCCTAATCCCTAGTAAATTGTATCTCGATAAGAATAGTTTATTTGCAGGTAGCAATGTCTCCAAAGCATTTGAGAAGCTTGTCATGGCCATCACAACAAAAATATATCAATTTTACTTTAATATCAATATGTAACGATGTATTTGCATTATCAACACAAGCAATGTGCCATATCAAATTCCCAAATTACAAACCTTCTGCAGGTGTAAACAGCGTTTATGCTGAAAGATTTTTGGAAAATTCATTTCGTCATCAAAAATTTAAATTTGCAGATAAGATGTGAACTCTGAATCTGGAGTTTCCTACTCACATAATTGTATACCCCTCTGTAAGAGTAAACCAGTCAAGTTGGTGGAATTTTACCATCCTACAATCTAGTCTATGTCATATTTACTTCCAGTCCTTGTATGAGATCTTGTTTGTGAAAGTTAGAAATCGTTTTAAATTTGCAATCAAGACCCACTAGAACATTCTCCTCTGGTGAAAAGAGTAAGTACTAATGTCGGCACAGCATGTGTACAATATTTCTATTGTATGACAAGGCTGTTTTATTTTGTGGGAAATGGTGAAAGTTAAGAGTTGTTTTCAATTTGCATGTAGACAAGCTCTGTTATATACAATTGGTTACTGTGCATGAGTGGGTGTATAATTTGATTGTGTTTTAATTAATTTTTCTGTGGAGTTTGTTTGTGTGAGATCAAAATTCTATTCGTGATGTTTTCAAAGTAAATTACCGTTATGGGTGTGTTAGCACATTTGCATAACTGTAGTCTTTGTTGTGTTGTTGTATGGTAAATAAAAGGAAGTAGGCTTGGATTTCTATGGATGTGATATTTGCTGCAAAAATGTATCTTTTGCCTTTCGGTAGTATTTGGGAAAAGCATAATAGGATGCGGTACTTCCTATTCCTAGAAGACATTCTACAATTCTGGGGAACCTCTCAGAAGAGTTCATATTTTATCATTACACAATTTTGGCAAGAAAGCACAGAGGGTACTGTCATTTTGTGCATGTTACCTTCTTTTTTTCTAGGTCTCATATTTAGACTGGAAGTGGCTCATGACGTAACAGGAGTTGTGGGATTGTAAAAAAGTCAAAAGAAACATACCCGTTTAATGTCATGCTAAACACAATTACAACTTTGGTAACACACTAGATTTATTGCAAGTTTACAAGTCATTATTTATCAATTTTAAACAATTTTTCTCCAAAATTTCTCTTTGTCAACTATCTTGGGGCACTCTATGTTTTGTATATTTTAGTTCAAAATTTTCAGAATGAATCTTTCAAAACCACATTTGATATGTCCAAGAAAATCTTTCCCATACATGCTACAAATATTTCTTACCATTTGTATTGAGTTATATCCTTTACAAAACTTAAAAATAATGCACAAAATGCCCAATATGCATTTTACCTGCAAACATTTCAACGATTCGATTTTATGCAAATAAAATGTAAAGTAAAGTTTTAAAATGAGCTTCTAAACAAAGTGTACAATATCACATTAGCAGTAATATGTTAAATTTCTCAATTGTTGTGGTTAAATTACATATCTATATCAGAAATCACCCTCCGGACAAAAATTGCAAATTCACCAACACGTTATTTGCCGAGAAATGCATACTTATGCTACATAAAAACAACTGTTAAAGCTGTGTATGTAAAGGGATTGTCACAATTAATTTTGTGCGTTAAGCAAGGGATATTTGTATACAGTCTATTCTGTACACCAAGCATTGGTCAATGATTGCTATTTCTGGTCTCGAGCAACGCACTTCGATGCAAGCAGTAGCTGGCACCCCAGCGCCAGCCAACGGTTGAATGGGCTACTGGAAGCCAGTATAGTCTCCTGGGCTAAATAGTTAAACACCATGGTCTTAGCAAAGCGCAACTGGTGATGACATCAACCTGAAAGTAGACTGATTTCGGGGGGCCGCATCTGGTGAAAGGCCACGTGTAGAGGTACAGTTCTTTTGACTTTTACTCCTATGGGTATAGTTTATGGCTCTGATAAGGTCCTGTCTCACTCAGAGGTGTAAAATCGAAGAATCACGACCCACTTAAACAAATTTTCGGTTAATAATATTAGAGCTGCTTACCTTTGACAGAAATTATTATACTGCATACAATTTGTTTCTTCACTTAAAGCGTGCTGATACACAACCATCATGTTTTAAACCATTCCAAATGGATGGAGTGGTTCGACAACACAGGTCATTGACCCAAGATTAGTTGCAAGTTCATGTCATGAGTTGTTATTCGTCAATTCTTCTCTACATACTTCCCGCAACTTGTTTACATCAACAACTTTCAGGTCCCCACTATATTTTCTATCTTTTAGTTCAAAATTTCTGAATAAAATTTTTAAAGTTTAGGCCCGATATACATTTTATCTGCGGACACTTCCAGTTGATTTTACTCAAACAAAACGTGAAAAGCTTTAAAACAAGCCTGTAAGCTTAAAACAATATGTTAAGTTTCACAGCTGTTATATCGCATGTCTACATTAAGCAAAAATGGCACAGTAAATTTAAAAGCACATTAATGAAGTTTCGTCAATATCGACACAAAAATCATAATGACAATAAATTAGAGCCAGTGCTATAAGGGTGATTGACTTGGGTCGCCATTCATTGCGTTATTAAGCAATATTTCATACAATAAAAACAAAATTCATGCTTAAAAGTATTGCATTTTGTGAGCTTTGTGATGTATTATAACGTTAAACAGCAGAAAAAGGAGTTTACATACCCATTAGACCCCCAACTGATGATGCACATGTCTTAGTCCCTAATTATTTTAATTTCTTTCCTAATTTGGAAATCATTAATTATACATCAAGCCAACACTAGTGCTACCAGTGATGAGATCTAAACTGTGCATGCCCCATTATGTATGTATATAATATTGATGTATCTTATTAAATATCATTCTTTACAGAATTGCATATAAGCATTAATTCACAAGCAAATCCACAAGCAAATATTTTAAAGGCTCAGTCGTTGAGTATTTACTCAATGACCGAGCCTTTAAAATGTGGCTATCTACCACTCTGAGGGATCCAGCAGTAGGATATAGCTTGGTGGGCCAATGTACATTTAAATTAGGGGGCTCCAGTATGGTGTTGATTTCAGATATTTTCCTTCGGAGAATTTTTTTAGGAACTATTTTCTTATAAAACATTAGTTTAAGCCCTTGTTGGTGAAGGCTCCAGGCAATTGCCCCTTTTGCTCATAGGATGATGCGCCACTAGCTGCCCCAAATTAAAAGTGTATGTCACGTGACGTTAATGTTGTTACAATGTAGTGGGGAAAACTAAATTTTTCAGTAAATGTTTACTTTTGTTTTAAAGTATGTATAATAAATTATATTTCCCTATCAACTATTTCTGTTACTGCACAAATGTAGGGAATTCTGGAAGTGACGTCACGGTCGACACCTTCCCACCAGTCAAGGAAAGTTTCCGTGTTCGCGCGCTAACCACACCATTTTAGCATTTTTAATGTTGCTTTTTCTCGTAGATGGAATGTATTATGGTGAATTAAAGTAATATCCGTTTTGTTAATATCGATGAGTGCTTGTGTGTTTCTTAATAAAGTCGTTCTTAATTTTTTTTTAATACCAATCGATTCAGCGTATCAAATTACATCTCGATATGTCTATGTCTATTCGTTAATAAAGTGATTGAGGCCGAAGTTCGAACTTTAATATTGTACTGCAAGCACATGTACACGTTTGACTACAAGCGAAAGCACACATGTACACATGTACTACAAGCGAAACACGTTGCTCCACCCACAATTCACGTCGCGAACTGATTCATGGGATATCATTGAAAAATGGCGGAAACATTTAAGAACGACGAAGCGAAGGTAAATAAAGAAATTAAACTACAGTAAAGCATTACCATTATGGTTTTTGATTTTAATTACGGTCGTATCTCCTAATCTAGAAACTTACAAAAGAATTATGATGTTGATGGTAGAAGATGACGTGAAAGAACAAACCCACTTGTACAGTATTAAGATAAGCTATTATCAACATAAATATGTAAAGTTCTATAGGCACTTCACCTGTATGCTACTCTAGATGTTTCCATACAAATAAATAGTTGCTTTAATTTGTAATATAGCCTACCTGCATTGACGGACAAACATCCCTCCTAACCAATTGAACAAACAAGGTCCTTTTGTGACGTCATTCCTCGTGTCCGATAGAGACACGTGTTAGAATGAGAACCACGTGTATTATTTGTGATGGAATTAGCTGTGGTTACATACAAATATTATTAAAAGTATTAGTTATAAAGTATTTCTACGGATTAATATTAAATCAGTAATGTAAATTAAACTTGAAATTTAATAGTTTGGTGTTCACTTAGTAAAATATTAGAGAAAATAAGTTACACTTATTCATGAACGTTTTTATTTTTAGGTTAGGGGTTAATATATTTATTAAAATTTATTATTCTAATTTTCTCAATTTTATTTGTTTGATTCTACACACTTTAAATTTAATTTTTATTGCATTAAAATGTGTCTGTATAATTTAATGTAGTTTGGTTATTTTATTTTTTTCCTAATTGAGTAAGTAAAACTTCTAATTAATAAATCTAAAGAAATAAAATTAATATTTCTGAATAAATCAACTTTCAAATTGTTGTCATTATTGTCACAATCGACCTCACTTTTATCAAATAGCTTATACGACAATAGTGGAAACTCTCGTGAATTAGCATGTAGCGTAGTGGAGACAGCGGGAACTAGCGACATCTAGTGGTTTGAGGAGAACACTAACACCGCAGACTATGTAAAGTCTAACAAAACTTGCAAAAATGCAACGAAATAAATATTTTATCATCTTTTTGTCTTTATTTTATGATCTTAAAACGTGAATTATAATTTTATTTAGTAGGAAACGTTGATGGATAGTGATTCAAAGGAAGGAATAATAGCAACAAAACAAATCAAATGCAATGAGTCAGATTTTTTAAATTAAAATCTGAGGTTTTAATTTCATTTTATTAAATTAGAACACATTGAACACCAAAATGTATTATGTGCACAGTTTGATCATACAGGTCATGGATAATACAGTTATTACATATGTGCAATCTTTTTTAATTTAGCATTTTTTGTTCTCAGAAAACTTTCAGACGAATCATTATTTTTTGTCACATATGCTTTAATAAGGACTTTGAAATATTTATCTGCTAATAATTTAATACAATTGTCACAAACACCTTTAATATTTGCATTCTTTAAGAAATAATTAATTAACTTAGTTTTAATTCCATATGGGCTCTGTAACAAAAATATATTAAAATTGTTTTGAAATATTGCTGACATTTCTGAAGATAATTTTTTCCCACACCCATTTGGATACAGCATTCTGCAATTGTCATCATATTTTTTCATTTCTATGTGAAAATTTCCCATTTCCCTATGTGAAAATTCCCCATCTTTTTTCGTAAAATGGTCAGAACACATGACGTAGTTTCTATTTAAATATTCTGGCCCTTTTGTTCTTAAAATATTGTCTAAGTCGGACCTTCTGCTTTTAACAATCCACTGAGTGCATCTGAAAATCAATATAAACACATACGTTGAATGATAACAATATTTTCAATGAGGAATGTTGATATAAATATAAACAATCTAATTGCTTATGAATTTACTTACACTTGTTTGTTTTTAGGGAATCTGTAAAACGACTTGCGATCACTTTGTATTTTATAGTTAAAGCAGCCATACATAGCGCAAATAACCCCTCTTCTGGCCATTCTAATTATTATGAGATATAAAAATGTTCAAAACTATATTAACTTATATTAATATTAATATATTATTATATATATATTACTATATCTATATTAATACCCAAAAACGTCTCCTTATCCACGCGGTACAAATGGAGTGAAGTGTAGTTATCTCCTCAAACCACTAGATGGCGGGTTGAAGCTTGTCGCCAGTTTTCAGCAGAAGTTTCCACTATTGTCATAATAAACTATTTGCTTTTATGTACCGGAACATAATAATATAACCAGAAATTTAGTAAATACTGTATTTATAATTTTTTGGTATGGTAAACAAGCAAGTGCATTTTAATTAATTAATTATGTAAACTTATGAAATAAGAATACATTTATGGTTTACCAGTGGCCAAGTGATTCCGTTCCCTGAACACTGGGAGTTCGGTCGCGGGGTCGCGCCTCGTCAGGACTGGCTGGCCACGTGTAGTTTTCCGGGTTTTCTCCACGACTGTAACTCCTGAATAGGGGTCAGTTGCCCTTAAAAAGACCTCCAGGAAGGCCTAGTGTTGCTTGCTGTAACCGAACTAACAAATTTGCATGAGTTGTTTCTTGAGACCCTTATCTATTGTTTTGACACGTACTGAGTTTGTTCCCGTAAACAGAGAAAATACGTTTTTAAAATCCAAAAAGTAAAAGAAGTTTACATTTAATGTGTTCAGTTTCTATTATGGCAATTTACTCCCCTCTTCTTATGGCAATCGTCACCAGGTTTACGCGAATGTTGCGTTGTGTTTTGAATGGTACTAAGTATTTATAAAGGATATCAAAGTAGTAAAAATTTCATTTCTATATCCTCGAGTTATTCAAAAGACTCTCTTTTCATTTCGTTTATTGTCATAACATTAACAACTATTTTTGAAATTTTCAATTTGACTATTCATATCCTGCTTTACTAAGCAAACAAAACTTTCGATTTGAACTGAGGGGATTGGATTGGGAACGAGTTTAACCATAGGAGGAATTGCGCGTGGTCTATTTTAGGTGCATTCTTTATACTTGTCTCTCATAAAGTGTTTGAAGATTTTTTTTGCCAATTGTCTGCAACAAGAAGGAGCGACAGGATTTTGAGAATAACATTGCAAAACTTGATGATCCGTTACCAGGAATTATGGATTTATATGAATATGAATCAGTTGAACACAAAACACGAATTAGCCTTCGTAATTGTTTATTTCAGAATAATTTTGGGACGAGCTTTTCGTATTACGCATATCTGTGCGTTCATATGCCCGAGTTTTTTGGAAATTGGGTCTTAGCTGCGATGATTGGTTTTTCGTTCGTTTGCACTAATTACTTCTGGCTGTTTGCTCTGCTGCAATATTATCACGGTATTTGTACACTACAGTCATTTATTGAAATTTTTAACTCGATTTATTAATATGATTTTAATTATTTACATGCAAACTGGATTTCAAGACATTCGTCAATTTGCGATTTGCCATTTAGAACTGGAACGAAAGCTGAAAGTTATTGATTCAATTTTTGTTACAATTCAGAAGTAGTTTAATAATTAATAATAAATTTAATTTTCTGAAGACAAAGTCTGTCCAAAAAGGAACCACCATTTATTTATCTCGTGTTAGACTACACACATTCTTGGCGACTGATATTTTCTTTTTAGGCTACTGGTCGCAAGAAGTTAAAAAAGTCCTTTAATAACACAAAAAATATATCCAGTTTTTTTTAATCTACATTTTACAGCGCTCATTTCCAGTAGATAAAAGCCGTAACATCCCAAGAAGGTATGGATGGAAGCAAGAAAGAAGTCTAACCAGTTCCTTTTTTAGTAATTCTTGTAATTTTAAACACAAAAAGTATATCCAATTTTAAGGATATATTTTTTTGTGTGTTTTTAAAGGGACTTTTTTAACTTCTGGAGACCAGTAGCCTAAAGAGAAAGGTCAGTCGCCAAGAAAGTGTGTAGTCTGGAACACGAGATAAATAAATGGCGGTTCCTTTTTGGGCAGACTTTGTCTTCAGAAACTTAATAATTGCCATTCAGACGAAAATTTACAAATAAATTTAATATTAAATGCTAGTTTATTTGTTAAATATTGGATTTCATAAAAGGATTCGGGAAAGTCGTTGTGTCTCACGATAGGATGTTTCTTTTGTGTCAAGAAGTGGATCTCTGCGAAGCTATTATCACTGACGCTGCATGTCTGACAATGCTTTATAATATATAAATCTATTTGATAAATATAAACATCTTACAATTAATTGTTTGTTTCTAGTTTATTTCTTATAAAGAACAGAGACTCCAATTTATATTGATAATACGAGAAAATGACGAATATTGGACCGTTTTATAAATTGGTCCGTTGCATTATCTTGTAGTTTTTGAAACAAAGTGATATCTGGCAGCTCTGATTCGAAGCTTATATCACATGACTTTTCTAAGAGCGAAATGACAGATATTAGAGCACATTTGTAAAAGCTATGACGTATTATTGCTTTTTATTGCGTTTAATGTAATTTGGATGATCGTGTAGCACTATAGAAGTCTTACCTGATATATTTTTGCAATCACTAACTGAGTCTGTATCGTAAGTTTTAATATTCCTCACTATAAAAGGAAATGCATGTATTTTCTAGGGGTTAAACAATGATAAGGTATTCGACCGATGCGTTTCGAGATGGAACGTTCAGATACCTGTTACTATTAAAACTTGAACGCATGTCTATTAGCTGATATGTATGAACCGAAGAGTATAGGCAGTGTGACTAAGCCAAGCTTGGAAAGCAGTCTGAACCAACCCGGACCGAATTGGTATATGTCAGTGACCTCTACAAAATCAATCTCAACCAAAGCACGCAGCAAGCTGCATCACCTAAAACATATCATGTCTCTATCAAAGCTTTGAAAATATCGCCTCTACCATAAATGTGTGACAAAAAAAAATGTAAACAATATTGTAAATGCTCAGTTATTACAAGCTCACCATACAACAGAAGTCTGCAGAAAAAAGTGGCAGGAAAAAAAACGGAAAGATTTCTCATTGGCTTCGGTTTACAACAAGGAAATTCAATACAGTAATACACCGAACTTACGCGATAGGTGGGACCTAGCGATAACCGCGTAACTCGGAGTATAATTTTGCATTTAAATACATACAAATAATTTTTAATTGGGGCCGGAGACTAAAGAAAACAATAATTTAGAAAAAAATGTTTAATAAAATCATAGATAATACAATTTCATGATGAACTCAGGATATTTTTCTTCTAATTTTCAATTAGAGATTCAGACTATGTAAAAAAAATAATAATAATAATTTTTTGTACATAGTCTGAATCTCTAATTGAAAATTAGAATAGATAATACATATTATGTCTAACAAATTGTATTATTATACAATTTTTCACATTTACTTGATTATTACGCCATAATTTTAACATTGTTTCAATCTCAGCGATAATACCGTGACGTTTACGAATGATGCTTGAATTTAAAGATTGAGCATTTTTCACAGCTTCGAGAATTTTTTCTTTACCTTTTACAATTGTTCTGACCGTCGATTCCGGTAGATCAAACTCCTTTGTCAATTCACAAATTTTCATTTTTGTATCGAAGTCTTTAATAATAGAGAGGTTGCGGCCGATGTTTTCAACGCGAAAACGTGTACATCGGACGTTCAGTGCCGCCATCCTGTAAGCCTAGAAGTTTGACAATGGCTTTTAGAACGTCGATTATGATTCCACTGACGTTCCATACGCCATTCTCAAACTTCTAGGCTGATAAGAAGGCAGCGTTAAACATCCGATGTACACGTTTTCGCGTTGAAAACGTCGGCCGCAAGCTCTCTAATGTTAACTTTACATTCCAAAGATAAAGTTTTTCTTTTCTTGTTTGATGCAGAAGAATTAGTTCTACTTCGTTTGGATGACATAGTAGAGTCTCTCGAGTCTCCGTAGATATAAAAATCACAGAAATAAATAACACAAAATAAATTGTAGCTATGTGTCGATTCCGCGCGACACGTCCGAACATGTAAGCTCAACAATAGTATGGGGGGAGAGAGTAATCAAGAGTTGCGTGGCGCTCAAACAAAAGACGAATCGACGAGAATTGAAAATCGCGTAACTCCGGGTTCGCGTAAGTCGGGGTAGCGTAAGTCGAGGTATTACTGTATGCAACTTTAATTTAAACGCAAGAAATATGTTGAAACTGAACAGAAAGAGGAAGGTTGGCAAGATGTTGTTAAATATAAAGATGAAGTGTCTCGGTTTTACAAGTTATGCAGAAAAGATGTACGCGGAAAAAAGCATGATTCAGCGCATAAAGTGAGAAGATTGGGTGCATGAAGTATATTTCCATGTGAAAAAGTATCACTGAAGAACATTTTTTTACTGTTGAGAGCAATTAAATACTTTTGGATATACAGTATAACTACATTTATTACAAGTATGATCACTCTTGCCAGTTTTTAAGCCCTAAATTTGCCAAAATCAGTGATATTTGTTACCCAACGTCATTTCAGTTAAACTAATTATTAAACTATGTATCGAAGTTGCAGAAAAAACGGAAGAGAGGGGAAAAATATGCTTGCAGTACAGTACTTTCAAGGAAAATCGTAACAACAAATATAAAAAGCTTCTGCCAACAACAAGTCAGCACCAGTATTTTACTGTAAATGTCGGGTAACTATTTATAATTTTTTATATTGTGTAGTAATGTTTTAAACATGAAAAACAATTAAATTACAGATTTTTACTGATCTATTTAGCTATTTTGAAGTGAACATTCTAATAAATTACGATTTCAACTTTTAAAAGTTTGCAAACAAGTTTTTAATTAGTTATTTTTTATTCTAATAAACAATTTCATCTTTTTATAATCGCTGAATTATTAAAATTAAAAATTAAACACTATTACATAAAAGTAGTTTATCCTGTTATTAATCCACAACTGTAAAATTATATGGCTTCAGAACGGTGAAAAAAGCCATTTCAAAATGAATTCTGGTGTAATTTCTTATTAAAGATTGCAGCATTACTTCTTGCCGCCTGCAGATGGCTATAATTGGTCATCCATATTCAGCAAACGAGATCAACAATGCAATTAAGGAGACACATTCCCTGATTTTCCTTAACTTTCCAGGTGCGTAGGAACCTTGTATACGTATACAGAATTCCTACTCAAATTTTTGTTTTAATTTCCATGAATTTCCCTGACCCTCACATCCCTTACATTATGACGTATTGGCAAAACAAAACACCATAAACTTCTATGCATACTTTTTTCCCGCGAGTTTTAATAAAATTTGTTGCCAATAAACATCCAAGAACAGCCAGTATGTCGTCATCAGATGCCATGGCCGACTGACTGACTGAGAGACAATGGTGTAGAGAATATAACTGGCGCCGGGGGAACGACACTGTATTGGCGCTCCCTTCCCCTCCAGAAACAAATCTTGTTTGTCTTGGAGACCCTCTGCGAGTGGCGCCCGGGGCACTTGCCCTACTTGCCCCATCCTAGCTACGCCTCTGCTGAGAGATTTTCTTCTTCGTGTGTGGGCGATAGGAAATTCTGAAGTTCCTCAAGGTCAGGCAGCCTCAAAGGATTAACTTAACGTGTATGGCCGCCTTACTCTCCTCGACCCAGCGGAAACCTCTCCACCCGTTCGTCAAGACGATCCACGACATCCCGACATCAATCAAGGTTCTACCCAAGAAGATAATAGAGAGGTTGTAGCCGACGTTTTCATCGCGAAAACGTGTACGTCGGACGTTCAGTGCCGTCTTCCTATAAGCCTAGAAGTTTGACAATGGTGTTTGGAATGTCGAGCATGATTCCACTGACTATCCAAACACCATTGTCAAACTTCTAGGCGTACAGGAAAGCGGCGCTGAACGTCCGACGTACCCCGTGATGACCGACGTTTTCGCGATGAAAACGTCGGCCACAACCTCTCTATTTACCAACAGGGTCCGACCATGTAAGCTCTCTTTCGCGACCTCACATACTCCCATTTATGTTCCACACTTGTAGAAAAACCATTTCGTTTAATAAATTGTTGTTAATGTTGTTAAAAGGCGTAGTAGCGTATATTATTTCCGGCGCACTGTCTCTCGAATTCCTCCTCCATCCCGAATCCGACCGTCTATATATGCGACCGCACGCATGAGATTAAATGTACATAATTAAGAAAGACGTGATAAATACTACTAGTTTCACTATTGGAAGAAGAAAAATTTACTTATAACTTTTTATACGCTCTCCAGCCTGACGAAATAGTTAACTACCGTCCTTCTTGGAGATTTCTAACCTTTCAAGTTGTTTCGATCGAGGCACTATTTTCTCTCGATGGCGTCTGTTTCGTTTCTAAGGAGTGAGGAAATTGTAAGGTTTTTCTACAATCTTACAATTTCCTCACTCCTTAAAATTCTGTGCTTACTACATCGGGCCATCTCCTTATAGATAGAACAGAGGGCCTTGTGGTAGATGATTACTACACCGTGTGATAGAATTGACCGGGCTGAAACATTCGGAAAGGATAAATATCTACAAACTGAATATAAGGATAAGGACTGCATGAATATAGATAGTCCATTTATATGTTACTGTAAGCCTAAAATCATACAATTTAGTAAAATCGCTGTAGAGGAAATTGCCGTCAACTTTGACGTTAGAAACAATTATGTAACGAAACGATGACGTCATCTATGTTTATACAAAATATATTTTATATTATCATCCTGTAATTGGACGCCGCTTAGTAAAATCGTTATAAAAAGTTTTAATTGGCAATAATTGGTGCTTTTGTAATTTTTAGTAACATTTTGAATAAAATACATTTGTTCCCGTGCAATTTTATCTTTATAAGCATAAACTTAAGCCGTAAAACTGAATTAGCGCTATGGGAAACCGCCGTGAAATTTTACCTATCTACCCGGAAGTTTCGCCTGTATTTTATTTATAACGAGAAATGCTTAATTATCTAAATTAATTCGTATATATGACTAAATTGAGACTTAAAATTTTTCTGTCCCTAAAACAATTTCAAAAACGTTTTGTATGATTAGTTTGAAAATATTATTTTAAAATTCTTATATGAACCCATAAAGGGAAGGAAAATGAAGTTTGTAGGCAAAAATATTCATTTTTCTCAACAACAATAGCGCTCGTCGACAATAGTTTTTCTTTTCGATTGTTTCGAAGGCTTTCGTTTGCGTTCTTTACTTTCGTTTTGTGATTTTCGAAGAGTGAAATGAGTGGAGAGAGAAAGAGTTTCTTGCGTAGGATCTTCGGAGGAAGACCCACGAGCAATAAGATAGGTGTAGAGAGAGAGGAGCAGAGAGATGAAGAGATGGGTCATGGTCCCACAGAGAATCCGGAAGTCAGTGGAATTCCGATCGAAATACTGGTTCTTCCTCGACGTTTGGAGGATCCAGAATCTAGTGGATTTCAGCCGGATCCGGAGTTTCTTTCGGAGCGTTCGGAGCAAGCCCGACGTATCGAATGGGTCGAGCCGAAGCTCTATTGGAGTCCGTGTAAGATATACCGACTGAGATTAGCTCATATGAGCGACGAGGAGATCGAGGCCGAAATGTGGGCCGAGGGCATCGAGTTCGATCGAAATAAACGTCATTCGGATCATTTTATGAGAGGGGCGCTTTCAAAATTGGTGAAAGTGATAAGAAATGTGCGGGAATTCTCTTGTTCCTGCTTTGATGGCTGTAAGAAAATTAAAGTTCATCCACTTATGAACGATGAGTTACGTCTTCGCAATCGTCTTTTCGGGTAATTGTCATTTTCACAGATTGAATGTGGTTTAAATTCAATATTTGCTTTTCACAACGATTAATCTTTAATTCTACTTTATAGCCCTCTCCTCACAAACGTCGAAAGTATAGAACTGGAGGAGTTCTAGACGAACTCAGAGACCTTGAAGTTATCTAGCGTGGTCCTATCTTCCAGTTGTGATTAAATGAGTGCAATTTATCGACTTGTGACGCTATTTACCGGACTTGACTCTGTAACTCGGACTTGACGACTTTTCCTGGATTTGACCTGAAAACTCGGATGTGACCGAAGTCTCCAACGGGACTTCAAACTTCGGGTGTGACAGAAGGATGATTCTCAAATGGACTTTCGAATAAGCGGGGAATCATTTCCTTCGGACTTTTGTGAATTCAATGTGTTTTATATTGTGTTTGTGATTTAATCGAGGGACAGTTTGCCTCTGATGTATGAGCTGAAAACCCGGATGTGACTTTAAACCTCGGATGTGACAGAAGGATGATTCTCGAATGGACTTTCGTATAAGCGGGGAATCATTTCCTTCGGACTTTTGTCAATTCAATGTATTTTATATCGTGCTTGTGATTTAATCGATGGACAGAATTTTGAACTTTTCAGAGAACAGACTGAAATTTACATGCATCTTTATGACTTATTCTTACCTTAATCCTGTCTTGTGCCTATAGTTTAATATTTGTATTCAATTAAAATTTAATCGTGTTAATTATTTGTAATTTGTATATCGAGTTAAAAAAACATTATATAATAAACTTCTCAAAAAATAAATATGTTATTGTGAAATATATTATGCATTATATAATATAATATAATAAAAATAACGTATTATATTATAAGTTACAACGATTACAAATAACGAAGTTTAAACTTAATAACCGACGTTACAATAATAGAGGCGGCAAACACGTGAATCTGCCACACTGTCAGTCGGATTGAATTAAATTGATATTATAAATCCCAGTTTATAGACCATTTCCGTTCACGACTGAATGGTGACCGATTAAGGTGGCAGCCTTTTGCTCTGGGGAACCAGAAATCGAATTCGAATGGGCCGCAAAACCACAGGAATTTTTCGATTGTGATTCGTCCGGCAGAGCCGTGTGAAATAGTTTGTTATACAAAGCAATTTAAAATCACTCCTGATTCAATGCTAATTACAAAATGTTCTATGAGTTCATTTTGGCGCTTTGGGCACATGTCCACCTTCGCTCTTTTTAGTTACGCCTCTGTCCTTGGCCCAGCAGTGGCCAAGCGGTTCCGTTTCCTGAACGCTGGGAGTTCGGTCGTGGGTTCGCGCCTAGCCCGGACTGCCTGGCCACGTGGTTTTTCGGGTTTTCTCCACGTCTGTTCCCTGAATAGGGGCCAACAACCCTTAAAAAGACCTTCCGGGAGGCATTTCCCTTAGGCAGATCGCCAAGTGTTGCATTGCCGCGAATTAACCAAACAATTAACAAACTGTCCTCCGGATATGTGGGGTCTGTCGCTCACCGGCCGCCCCATTGTGGATTTGGCAGAACCCACATGGGGCTTGGTAAAAATTTCTCTCTTACAGAGCTGTAGCACTGAAGGTCGTTGAGCAATGTTCTGTTGCAGTTTAACAGTTCGTAGTGTGTATGAATCCAAGTGGGTAGAAATCAAAACATTATTTGAATCATTCAATAATTAAAAATTTTTACGCAACGCTTTTCTGTATTGGTCTACGTTATTCCCATATTGATGTATACGATTTATGATTTATTGCACGCCGCTGCCAAAGTGTCTCGGTACTCTTTGATTTCGGTTTATGGTGCAGGTGCATTGTTAACGTGACGTGACAACGTGCAAAAGGCTTTTGATGTGACAACGCAAAGCTATTGTTTTTGTTTGTAATATACAGCGCGACCACCTCTCCTCCTCTTCCCTCGAAGGGGGTTGGAATTTCGAAAAATCCCTTTTTAGTGTGCATTCTCATGACGTACCCTACTAAAACGCAGTTAAAATAAAAAATCGCATCTAAAATAGTACAGTAGAATCCGTTCTTCAGATTAATACAAAATACTAGCCTTATAAAGGGATCGCCCAAACCGTCCAATTATAAACAGTTTATTTTTAGTCTAATTGTAAATTGTTCGACATTAAAAATTGGAAATAAAAATGTTTAGAGGCTAGAACCCATATTTTAAAGTTATAAACCGCTGTGCGTTGTATCACCTCTATAGTATCATGTATTCTTCTCTATTAATGAATGACACATGTATATAAACCAGTAAAATTACACCATGTTAATTCGACTTTGCAAAATTATTTTTTAATCAAAGAAACTATTCTTTTTCGGTACATAAAGGCAATTGCTTTATATTCGATATCAAAGTTATAAAACGAAAAAGATAAAACTTTAAAAATTTCTTTCTATATTCAATAAAATCAAAATACGAAATTAATACAAATAAATACTTTTGTTCACATGCTCATTCATTACAAATATCGTTATTTATTATTATGATATTTATTAATATGACGATTTAAATTACTTTTAAAACGGAACTTTTGTAAGCAATAAGTACAGGAAAATGGCTTTTCCCCTGTATGAACACGCAGATGTTCAATCAGATTTCCTTTCTGTGTAAAACTCCGTTTGCAATGATCACAGGTAAAGGGTTTCTCCCCTGTGTGAGTTCGAAGATGTTGATTCAGAGTTCCTTTATGTACAAAACTTCGTTTGCAATGATCACAGGTAAAGGGTTTCTCCCCTGTGTGAGTCTTGACGTGGTACCATAAACTGTTATAATGGAGGAACTGACGATTACAGAATTTGCAGAAGAGCCGTTCTCCAGTGTGAATCCTTTGATGACGTTTTAAATTGGACTTCGAAGCGAATTCTTTCTTGTAACTGTCACAATCATACTTCCCATTCTTTCCCTTCTCAATGTTTAAACCTGTAAAATACAATATATAAAAAGAGTAAAACCAATGTTTAAAGACCAAAACTTTCTTCAATTTATTCTCAATCAAATATCTAAATTTAAATCACACTATTTTAAAAGTACTGTGAATGCTTAGGATGCAGATAGACAAAGAATCTTTCTTTCTCTGGTTATTTTCTTTGAATAAAATTTAGATTAATACTACACGAAGAAAAACATTACTCCAGAAACACTAACTATTCACACGTATTACCCACATACTAAAACAATATCACAAATTAATAACAAATGTAATTTATACATTTTTCAATGAAAACAATTTATATGAAATGTATTTTGCAAAAACAAAATATTTGAAAAATAGTTTTAAAATATCTTCGTTGATTTTTCTCTTTTTCTTCACTCGCATGAAAGATGTTTTCCTTGTTGATATATTCTTGTAATGATTTCACAACACTGGCTTTAATTTTAGTGTTCCGTTAACGACAGAAGTCCAACACATCCATCGACTATTCTTGTGTTTTTCTAGAAACTATTCTTCATTTAGTAGTAAATAGGAATGTTTTTGATTGGCGGGTAGTGAATCTGAAAGCAATAAAAGTCCCGAATGAAATCAGATACGACAATATCGTCACACATTACTATCTAAGTCAAATTTAAATTTTTCAAAATTAAATTTAATAATTTTAGAAATTCTTCTTCGGACATTTCACGCCATAAAATAGCAGTTCGGTTTAAAACCCGAAAAATAAACTAATTCAAATTAATTTATTATATAAGTGTCTACTGGGACATATGGTATTAGTAGGACTTGTTATAATGGTGTCCGGAATCTACGAATTGAGGATACTTATTCAGAAAAAACAATCTTTATTGTTCACTTTTTTCAGCTGTACACACTTTGTGTTTCGGACCTCTTGTTCCCTCGTCAGCAGATTTACTGTCATCACTTGCTAAAACAAGATTTTATATGTTGTTATATTTTCCCGACAATAATGCGATTAAAATGATTTAGGTTTTTTGTGGATAATTACATGAAAATTTGAAAAGATTAACATAAATTTGGTATCATATTTTCAAACATTAAACCTGTCTATGTATATAATCGAGACTAGTTAATAATAATTAGCGCAGAGCCCAAACGGTTAGGAGTTGAAAGCTGAAATTTGGTACACAGTTAGGGTACGTCACGAAAACAAACACTAAGAAGGGATTTTTCGAAATTCCCCCCAGGGGAGAGAGACAGGATTAACCTTAACACTTCCATCAACAATAGAAGTGTTAAGTAACAATGCAAGTGTTAAGAGAAAGCGACGTTTTAAGAGAAAGTGCAAATTTTTTTCGTTTTTGCAGGAAATCGTAGATATTTTTAGACCCATCTAAAAATTCTCTAATTAGACTGGAAACGGGGGACCCAATTCTTGCATTCTTTGAAAACGGGTAAAGTTGACTATAACGTAATATTCTTAATCTTCGCTATCGTACCTTTGCCCGAGCAACGCCGGGCCTACCTGCGAGTATACAATAAGCAGATGAACAATACAGATTGTTTTTTCCGAACAAGTTTCAATTCGCAGAACTCGGGCGCCTACTAATACGATATGTCCCAGTAGACACTTACATATTAGATTTTATGATAAACACACAAAGGTATATGAATGAATTCAAATTAATTTTACTCATCCAGGAACAGTGTCAATATATTTCAAATGTTTATATATAAAGTACTTTTATTTGCGATTTTTAAAATTAGGTATAAATATATTTTATGAAGAATTAACTTCCCTTCGGTCCTTCTATTTTACAGCTTTTATTGCAGAACTAAGTTATACAAACTGAATCATTTCTTGAAAAGTTTTTTTAATTAAAATTACCTTAGGAAAAAAGTGAAAATCTACTTACTAATTTAACAAACTTCAGTCAAGAAAGACACGGAAAATACCACAATACTCGTTACCACTGTCCACAAGAACCGGGGGAATTCGATACATCATCAAATGTTATCTGAAAAGTCTCCTCTTCCGCTTCGTTAAAATCTTCCTTCTGTTTTTTTTCTTTCTGGTGAAATCGTTAACGAGGTTTTCTCCTTCAATCAAGACTGTAAATTATGTTACATTTAAAATTATCTACACCCAGACTATCGATTGTAGAAATAAAATGGCGAAAGTCAAAGGGTCGATAAAAGGACTAACCTGCCTGTGTGGACGAGAATTCCAAATGCTTGCATTCATTTTGTCGTACGGCTGAAATGACAACACAATCTTCACCCTCTCTGTCTTCTCGGACACAAACAATTGTGGGTTATCAACAGAGTAAAATAAAACTTCTGTCGACTTTTTTCTGTATCCAAAACAGAAATACGTCACTAGTAACGAGCGAAGATTCGTGAATTTCACCTATTTACTGTGCTTTCCTCTTCTTTTTTTAATGACGAACCGATTCCAAGACGATGGCCGAAAACGAAAAGGAAGAAAACAACCAAATGAAACGTCTCCTTCGATTTGTTCGTAAAAGATTTAGCTCATCGGAAAACGATTCTGAATCTATTCAGTACTTACAATAAAAACATACTTTACCATTTCTCTAACCGAAATCCAGCAAATGCATTGCTGCACTTCATTCAACCTAACTGCTGATTTTTTTTTTTTTTTTTTTTTTTTNTAATTATGAATAAATAATGAAGTAGATATGTCGAATGAATGTTTATCTCACAGCTACTGTCTGGCTCTCATGAGATGAGCTCCAAACAAAGGTTTGTGTTGCAACGGCAACCATAAAAATGGACCGGTTCATTTCTTTTTAGATATGAGAAATTAGGTTGGCGAAGATTTGACATGAGGGGAAAAGAGATTGGTTCCATTTCACTTTGTGCTTTTATCTGTGTTGAATGCCATTTCTACTTTTCTGTGGTTAATCATTAAAAATAACAAAACTTCTACGTAGCATTTTATTGAAAACTTAAATATTTTTATTATCGTTGCACAGCGGTGGGCACACACAAAACGATCGGCGGGCGCTATGGTGCCCGCGGGCATAGGGTTGGGGACGCCTGCTCTAGATCGAAATTCCAAACGTTATTTTAATGCAAACGTAAGAAATCAGTCAGTAATGAATGAAGAAGATATTCGGCTTGTTAAAGCTTCTACTGTATTTACTAATTTTTCAGGATTTAATTTTGGAATAAGGTAAAGCTGGGTGTTGGCCTGACCTAACTCTTTTCCTCTCTCCCGGGAAAGTTTTTGAGTGTTTTATTATTAATAGTCTTTTTGTATTTTTATTTAACGTCCCGTCTTTATACTGTAAAAACTATCCTTTTTTTTCTTTAAATAAAATAAAGTTACAGTAGTTTGTTCTTACACTCGCTGGAGTAGAGATGTGTTTCTTTTCTTTATATGTTATCTTGTTATTTCACTACGTATAACTTTTAACATCGAGGCTATTATATTGAAGTACTTTAATATAATAATCAACCAAATAAAAATTATCATATTTGTATCTATATTGCATTATTGTATGATAAAAAGTAATTTAATAAACTTTTTTAATAAGTTTAATGCTTTCTATATATGCATAATAATTACATAAGTTCACAGTAATAAAGCGTATCGAGATCAAAAGGCTATGCAGATAACATATAAAAATTTATTAAATGAACAATACATTTTTTTAAACTTTTAATTTCAACTAATTTTGAATACTGTAATAGAGGACTTTCTTTGGATCCAACTGATGTACTACATTTGTTACAGGTTTTTGAGGTCTTTTCTATACTTGTTACTAAGGGATAGAAAGTTCGTCTCGTATCACAGTGTGTTTCTTGTGAAAAACATCTTACTAAATCTTGCCCGCAGGACGGTGTAATATCTCTATTTCTATGGAATCTTATTGTAAACTCTCTTTTGTGCAATAATAGTATAAATGTTTTCATACAGATCTTCAAATAGTGCAGGAGAAGCTAAGTATAGCACTGAAGACTTTACAAGACTGGGCACAAGAAAACAAACTTTTATTTAGTACAAACAAAACTCTAGGAATGCTCTTTACCTCTCAGTATAAGTATTCGTTCCATCTCACAAACTCAATAATGTGATTATTAATTGATTATGATTAATTGATTATTAATTGATTAATTAGTAATGTGATTATTAATTTGACAATTTTAGGATTTTTATTTTTTACTAATTTTAAATAAGATTAGTATATTAGGCTTAAAGTGGCAAAGTTTGGCCTCGATCCCGTCCTCCAACTCCTTCGCTTCGCAACCACTTTCATAAACCCTTTACTTCAATTGGACCGAAATCTCTGAATCGATCCCAATTGCAGAAACTTATTTAAGTTAGGTTCACGGTAATTCTGTAATGGTCCAGCTTGGCAAAAATGTTGGCGAAAAATCATTCGTTTCAATGATGTTATCGTTACAAGCATACAATTAAATTAAGTGATTAAAAGTTAAAAAGCTCTATGGAGAACACCATGAACTTTGACCTATCGAACAGGAACTTTCGCCAGCACTTCACTGATAACAAGAGAAGCTTAAATTTAAAATTTGAGCTTTCTAGAATCAATAGTTTTTCTCTAGGAGAGTCTGAAATGCCGATGAAGAAACAAAGAAAAAAAGACTATTGCGACCTTCGTACTTTTTAATTGCTTATGTTTCGTCAATCCCTTTATTGAAATATCTGAAATTTTACACACTACTTAATAAAACAATTATCTTTCGAACGCAATGTTCAAAATTACTACTAGAGAGATCAACCCACGAAACAAGCGTTTGTAATTTCTGTGTATGGGTATATATTGTCAGTGGCTTTTTACTTGGCGCGGAGTCACCTCCTTATCTCTGGATAATTGCAACACTGTTGAAAAACTAATAAAAGTGTCTGTAGGTGACAAAAATTTAATAATTAAAATTTATTACATAGAAGAATGTAAATCAGTATCATATCTCATATCATTAGAATATCGTTACACGTATTAGTATATTTATATATATAATGATGGTTTTTAAAGACCCGGCTTTTAAAAANCGGATCTAATGTAAACAGTGAATATGGCGGATAGAATATGGCTAATTTTCTAGCTTACTCATGGATTAACTTGCATATGGAATTGTTAAATTTTTCATTTTTCTTTTGCTTTTTGTTTTTAACATGAAAGATGTAAATCTTGTCATAATTTTTTCTTTTAATTTATGGCAATCTGGCCATATGGTCATTTTTAATATATTTGTTAAATTTTTTTGAATCCTACTGATTCAATACATCTGTTACAGATTTTTAAGGTTTTTTTATACTTCTTATTAAATAACCATATATATTATTGTATATATGCCTGTGAACAATGCAGTTTTTTATATAATGAATTCATTTCTGCATTGTTTACAGGCATATTTACAGCTTTAAAATTTTCTGGTAAAACAACTCAGTCATTTTTTTGTGGGTTTTTTGACACATTTTTATAAGAAAAATTATATAATCTGGTATTTCATATAAACAGAACCTGTTGACTTGAAAAATATAAACAGAACAGGTTAGGAACATATTCTTAACCTGTTGACTTGGAAAATTCTGTTTATATTTTTCAAGTCAACAGGTTCTGTTTATATGAAATACCAGATTATATAATTTTTCTTATTGAATTTATATTTAAAAATAATTATTTTAAAATTAATACAGATTTTTTCGCCAAAAAAATGGAATATCAATGGGATCAGTAGTTGGACCTAAATTAGCGGAGATTTGTATGGAATCAATTGATGGTGCTATATCACAAGTCCCAGGTATAGAATTTTATGCTCGTTATGTGGACGATATATTAATTATTTTTGATTCCTGTGTAGTAACACCTTACGAAATTGAAGATTATGCGAATAACTTAAAACCTAATATAAAGTTTACTAGTGAATTGGAACAGAATCAGGAAATAAACTATTTGGATGTGACTATTAAACGTGAGAAAACGCAACTGAGGTTCCGTAAGTATGAAAAATTATGTAATACAGAGAAAACAATTAGTTATAAATCTTATTGCCCTATAGACACTAAAAGAAACGTTTTTACTATGGAATTGAGGAAAATACTAAACAGAACATCACTTCAGGAAGATATAAATAAAGAAATTAAACAATTATTCAGAAAATATTTATTGAACGACTATCCAAAGAGTAAAATTTGTAAGTGGTATAACTCTTTTATAAATTACAAATACAGTATAATGTAAAAAATTGTATAAATAATAATACTTATGTTAAAATGCCTTATATACATAATCTTTATAAACGATATAAACCCATATTTAAAAAGTTTTCTATATGTGTAGTGGCGAAGCAGGAAAACAAAATGTCGAATATTATTAATATTATAAATACTAAAGGTCAAAATAAAGTAAGAAATCAGCTTGACGTCGCAGGAGTGGTTTACAAAGTATTATGTGATTGTTTGCAAGCGAAATCACATGTTGGAGAAACGGGACGGAGGCTCGAGATACGTCTAAAAGAACACGAGGCATCGATTCGTTTAAAAAGACAAGAGTCACCTTGGTATCATCATTGCATCAATTATAATTGTAAAATTAATAGAAATTCTGTAAAAATATTACATAAAATAGAAAACTGGTTTAAAAGACGAGTAGTAGAGCACTTTTGTATTGTTGAACATGCAAATTTGTTAAATCAGAATGTCGGTCTAAACGTTGATGCATGCTGGGAAAAATTTATTTGTATAAAAAGTAATGAATTGCTTGTTGTTAGATAATCCACCGATGAGGCTGTAACGGCGAAATGCATTTGGAGAACATTTTGGAATATTTTTTGAAAAATTTGAAAATAATAAAAGAAATAACGTTGGCTGAAGTATAGTATCTTTGTTCATTATTTGTCTGCTGATATAAATCACTCGAAATCAGTTTAAGAAAGAGTGTTTTATATTTACTCGTTTATTTTATCTAAAAATAAGCTTTTATTTTTAGAAATTATATTTTTTCTAGAAATACTTTTTAGTTTACGATTTTTTTTCTGAAATTCTTTCGATTTTAATCTTGTCATTTGCATGTGAAGATTTTAAGTGACTTTGACATTGAAATTTTAGTGACAATAATGTGTGATTTTTGTCACTAAAATTATTTATTATTTTTTTTATGAACACAAATTAAGTGTATGATATGAGAGACCGGACTTGACAAAAATATTTGAGGATAAAAATTTAATTTTTGAAATTAAAACTTGCTGTATAATTTTTCCCATGATTGTTAAAAATGTAAAGGATATGATTTTTTCCTTCTATGGAGTCACTTCCCTTTCAAGACGATACATCGAATTTGCCACCAGGAACTTCGTGACAAGAATTTGCTATTGGACGTAGGTGTTGCAACATTGCCAAAGAAAGGCAAGGGGAAAACGGGGAGGACCTACAGATAAAAGGCAAGGTTCGACGATGACACAGAGTTCGTCGTCATCGTGAGTTCGATATCTTTAGACAAGTGTTCACGCCCGATCCCTTTTGGATACCGCTTAATGCAAATAATATAGGCAGTATTGTATTTAATAATAAACAACAATAGATTGGAGAATGCTTTTTTTTCAGATTCTAGTTTTTTAGTAAATTAGTAGATACACATATTTCCAGTTAAAAAATACATAACTTGAAAGCAAATATGAATAAAAATTACTGTAAATCTAATTTTTTTGTTTCTATTCTTTTAAAATATTAATTTAAATTCTTAATCATCAAATCTGCCGATTAATTGCTAAAATGTTTTTATGGTCTGTCAAAAAATCCCATACAATAGTAAGTTTGGATCCTTGCAATAATTTGTTACTTTCATTAAACTTGAATGTGTAATTAGAATAACTTATTGAATAACAATTATAAATAATTTTCAACAAAATAACTATGAAAATGTTATTCATTAATAAAATGTTCTAGACATTCCTTTAATTTTAGAATACAAATACCAAAAACCAAAATTCATAATATAAAGATACTGTACTGGTTTTTTAAAATGCTTTTTAATTTTTCTTGTGATAATTTTATTTTTAATCGGTGTTCTCTTATTTATAGACATTCTTCTTCTTGCAGGCTTTCAATTCTACAATATTCTGTTTCTCGATGAGAAAAATCGGGTTGTCGACTTGGTTTGTTGTTCTCTACCACATTTTTATCTATGCGCGTATGAAGTTTTTCCGGAATATCCAATCGAGTAAGGTGTAAGAATTTTTTTAAGTAACGCTAGTGTCGAAATTATTCGATTCACTAATTCTGTTCCTAATATCTCGTGATTTAGTAATTCTTCGATAAAATTTGCTGGTGAAATCCTCGCGTCAGTAATCTAGGTATTAGTGTAATAACTGGATTTACAAATACCACGATTAGGCAATGTTGGTGGAACACTCCTTTAGTCTGAATCATTAGTGAAGTTATAGCACGATTATTTGAGGCTATCGTTTGGCTGTGTTTCTATATACATATCGGGCTTTGCGATGTTTCATGTAGTTATACAAGAAAAAATACTCGTGTGGACAGATTGTGTTTACGCTTCCAGCGCATATTTTTAGCTACGGGGCAGTTCAAACTCCAAGTGAAGTTTTCTCGAATTTACCGTTCGAAGTACGAGGTGCCGCTGAATTCGTGATCGAGAGAAATGGCTTCTACCGTGTTAAGTAAATCACATAGACAACGTATTTTTTCTACTTTAATTACACTTCTATTTATTTAAATGTAATTCCACAAAATATTTTTTGTTTATGCCCACAAATTCAAAAGGTTTTATAAAAGAATGTAAAAATTATAAACCAAGAAAATACAACTTAAATTTTCTGTTTTTGTCAATCTTAATATCAATTAATAAAATCTTGAGTATTAGAATGATTTTTTCAAACAAATACAATGGGTCAACCATTTTCATCCACTTGTTTTTTCGCATTGTGCTTCATAAAAATCATCATTATTTAAGATTCTCATTCCCATGATGTCTAACAACATGACGATTCAATTCCGACTTAGAATAGAATTTTACTGAGCAATAGTTACACGAAAATGGCTTTTCTCCGATGTGACGCCGAACATGATCTATCAGATTAGCTTTCTGTGTAAAACTTCGTTTGCAATGATCACAGGTAAAGGGTTTCTCCCCTGTGTGAGTTTGCAGATGTTCAATCAGAGTTCCTTTCTGTGTAAAACTTCGTTTGCAATGATCACAGGTAAAGGGTTTCTCCCCTGTGTGAGTTCGAACATGGTCAATCAGAGTTTTTTTCATTGCAAAACTTCGTTTGCAATGATCACAGGTAAAGGGTTTCTCCCCTGTGTGAACTCGCAGATGTCGAATGAGAAANAAATATGTATATATATGTATAAATTTATATAATATCACAGGTAAAGGGTTTCTCCCCTGTGTGAACTCGCAGATGTCGAATGAGATGATCTTTTCGTGTAAAACTGTTTTTGCAATGATCACATGTAAAGGGTTTTTCTCCGGTGTGAGTCTTGATGTGGTCCCGTAGTCTGTTGGAATACGTGAACTGACGAGTACAGAATTCGCAAGACAAGAGCCCTTCCCCAGTGTGAATCCTTTGATGACATTTTAAATTGTAATTGGAAGCAAATTCTTTCTTGCAATTGTCACATCGATACCGCCCTTTCCTTGACTGCTGAATGTTTAAACCTGTAAAATACGATAAATAAAACTATTAAAACCAACGTTTAAAAATCAAAACTCTTTTCAATTTATAATCAATCAAATATCTAAATTTAAACCACACTATTTTAAAAGTATTGTTAAAGTTTTGGATGCAGATAGAAATAGAATTTTCTCTTTTTTTAATAAATTTCTTTAAATAAAATTTAAAGGTTAAACCCACACGAAAAATACCACCACACCAGAAACACTAACTATTCACACGTATTACCCACACACATTATACGTTTTTTTCTGGAAACAATATGGAGTGTATTTTGCAAAAACAAAAAATATATATATATATTTAAAAAATAATTTAAAAATATCTTCGTTGATTTTTCTCTTTTTCTTCATTTGCACAAATGATAATTTCTTTGTTGTTATATTCTTGTATAATTTCACAACACTGGCTTCAATTTTAGTGTTCGGTTAACGACAGAAGTCTAACAAATCCTTCCACTCTTCTTGTGTTTTCCTGGAAACAATTTTTTCTTTATTACACAGAAATGCTCTTTACTGGTTGATAGTAAATCTGAAAGCAACAAAAAGTCACGAATGAAATCAGATACAAGAATAACGTCATACATTATTTTCTAAGTCAAATTTAAATATTTCAAAATTAATATAGTAATTTTAGAAATTCTTCTTTGGTCATTCATTTCAGGCCATAAAATTACGGCTCGGTTTAAAACCTGAAAATGAAACTAATTCAAAATTGATGTTTCTTATCCAGAAACAATATATTTATACGTATGAAATAAATTCAAAGTAGTTTTATCTACAATTTTTAAAAATAAGAAAATTAGGTGTAAATGTATTTTATGAAGAATTACCTTCCCTTCGGTTTTCCTATTTTACAGCTTTCTTTGCAGAACTGAAAGTTATAAAAACGCAATCGTTTCTTAAAAAATGTTTTTAAAATTACCTCAAGAAAAAAGGAGAAATCGACTTACTAATTTAATAAACTTCAGTCAAGAAAGGTACATTAAATACTACTTTTTACCACAGTCCACAAGCACCTGGGAATTCGATACATCATCAAATGTTACCTGAGAAGTCTCCTCTTCCGCTTCATTAAAATCTTCCTTCTTTTTTTTTTCTTGGTTGAAATCGTCAACGAGGTTTTCTCCTTCAATCAAGACTGTAAATCATGTTAAATTTAAAATAATCTACACCCAGACTATCGATTGTCCGAATAAAATGGCAACGGTCAATGGATCGAAGAAAGGAATAACTTACCGGTTTGGACGAGAATTCCATATGTTTCCATTCATTTAACACAACGCACCCTCTGTCTTTACATATGTAAAGAATTGAGGACTATCAACAGAGTAAAATAAAACTTTTGTCGACTTTTTTTCTGTGACCAACAGAGAACTGAAATACGTCACTAGTAACGAGGAAAGCGTTACGCACTACACCTATTTATTGTCGTTTCCTGTTCTCTCTTCCGTAGTGACGAACGAACCGATCCTTAGACGACGGCATGGAAACGAACACCAAGAAAACACCCAAATGAAAGCTTCCTTCGATTTCCTCCTAAAACATTTAGCTCATCAAATATCAATTTTGAATCTATTCAGTACTTACAACAACCTGCACTCGCCGGACTTTGATGCGACCTAACCGTCAATTTTTTAAAATACGAAGTGACGCCATCTAATATTTAATTAACACTCGGACAATCGTTGGATTGTTTGTGGCTATTTGTGTCCGAACTAATTATTTATAATAATTTCAAAATTACTCGTTATTTTTTAATAATATTGCAATGAAACATTACTTATGAAGTTTNTTATACGTTTTTTTCTGGAAACAATATGGAGTGTATTTTGCAAAAACAAAAAATATATATATATATTTAAAAAATAATTTAAAAATATCTTCGTTGATTTTTCTCTTTTTCTTCATTTGCACAAATGATAATTTCTTTGTTGTTATATTCTTGTATAATTTCACAACACTGGCTTCAATTTTAGTGTTCGGTTAACGACAGAAGTCTAACAAATCCTTCGACTCTTCTTGTGTTTTCCTGGAAACAATTTTTTCTTTATTACACAGAAATGCTCTTTACTGGTTGATAGTAAATCTGAAAGCAACAAAAAGTCACGAATGAAATCAGATACAAGAATAACGTCAAACATTATTTTCTAAGTCAAATTTAAATATTTCAAAATTAATATAGTAATTTTAGAAATTCTTCTTTGGTCATTCATTTCAGGCCATAAAATTACGGCTCGGTTTAAAACCTGAAAATGAAACTAATTCAAAATTGATGTTTCTTATCCAGAAACAATATATTTATACGTATGAAATAAATTCAAAGTAGTTTTATCTACAATTTTTAAAAATAAGAAAATTAGGTGTAAATGTATTTTATGAAGAATTACCTTCCCTTCGGTTTTCCTATTTTACAGCTTTCTTTGCAGAACTGAAAGTTACAAAAACGCAATCGTTTCTTAAAAAATGTTTTTAAAATTACCTCAAGAAAAAAGGAGAAATCGACTTACTAATTTAATAAACTTCAGTCAAGAAAGGTACATTAAATACTACTTTTTACCACAGTCCACAAGCACCTGGGAATTCGATACATCATCAAATGTTACCTGAGAAGTCTCCTCTTCCGCTTCATTAAAATCTTCCTTCTTTTTTTTTTCTTGGTTGAAATCGTCAACGAGGTTTTCTCCTTCAATCAAGACTGTAAATCATGTTAAATTTAAAATAATCTACACCCAGACTATCGATTGTCCGAATAAAATGGCAACGGTCAATGGATCGAAGAAAGGAATAACTTACCGGTTTGGACGAGAATTCCATATGTTTCCATTCATTTAACACAACGCACCCTCTGTCTTTACATATGTAAAGAATTGAGGACTATCAACAGAGTAAAATAAAACTTTTGTCGACTTTTTTTCTGTGACCAACAGAGAACTGAAATACGTCACTAGTAACGAGGAAAGCGTTACGCACTACACCTATTTATTGTCGTTTCCTGTTCTCTCTTCCGTAGTGACGAACGAACCGATCCTTAGACGACGGCATGGAAACGAACACCAAGAAAACACCCAAATGAAAGCTTCCTTCGATTTCCTCCTAAAACATTTAGCTCATCAAATATCAATTTTGAATCTATTCAGTACTTACAACAACCTGCACTCGCCGGACTTTGATGCGACCTAACCGTCAATTTTTTAAAATACGAAGTGACGCCATCTAATATTTAATTAACACTCGGACAATCGTTGGATTGTTTGTGGCTATTTGTGTCCGAACTAATTATTTATAATAATTTTAAAAATTACTCGTTATTTTTTAATAATATTGCAATGAAACATTACTTATGAAGTTTTACTCGTACAAATTTTTAAAAAAGTACGGAAGTTAAATATTAGATAGCAACACTTATTCTACTTTTTAAATTGACGGTTGTTGCGTGGAAGTGTAGCGCTATAATCTTCATATGAAACAGTAAGACGAAGAATATCTCCATATAAACACAAGAAGAAGAAAAAGTGGAAGTGGAAGCGTAGCGAGTGTAGCATAGAAGCATAGAAACGGCAAGGCATGTTTCATGGTAACTATGGAATAGATTTCAAGTTGTTTTCCGGAAGTGCCGCCATTGGAGTCCATAAGTAAAATTCTACTTTCGTACGCATTTTTCGAGAAACGTTTCTTTTAATAACTTTCAATTTTGCAATAAAAGCGGTAAAATGTGGAAGGGTAATAGCTTTTTCTAAAGCATTATACTTGTTTCTAAACATCGCGGATAAACTACTTTCAAAGTTGCACTTTATCAATTTATTCCAAACTTATAAATACGTATTTTTGGTTATGAAAATTGACTTAAATTCGTTTTTTTCAGATTTTGAGGGTGAAGCTGTAAAATGTCGAAGAATTTCTAAAATTATTAGATTGATTTTGAAATATCTAATTTCTTTTAGAAACTAGTGTTTGACGTCATTTTCGTATCTTATAGAGAACTTTTTATTTGCAGATTCACAGTGGACCAATAGAAGACTTACCCATGCAATAACTAACAAATTGTTTCCCGGAAAACTCGAGAAGAGTCGAAAGATTTCGTTCAGCTTCAGTTTATGGAAGATTAATTAAATTGAAGCAATGACAAGAAAATGACACGGAAGAAACATATTTCGTGCAAATGAAGGAAAAGAGGAATTTCAAGGAAGATAATTTAAAATCCAATAACGTTTGCAAAACATTCTTCGTATAAATTGTTTTCGGAAAAATATGTATATATATGTATAAATTTATATAATATGTGATAATTTTGATGCTCGTTGGTAATAATTGTAAGCGCCGGAAAGCAGTTCGTGTGTGTGGTGTGACGCAATCATCGGAATTGGTTATAACCCTGTATGTTACTTTAGAGAAACTCGTGATAAAAATACAAATTACTTTTCTATCTGCAAACACAAGTTTTAACACAATGCTTTATAAAATAGTGCACTTGAGTTTACATTTTTATATATTTGATTGAAATAATAAATCGACTTTTGGTATTTTTATATTTTACAGATTTCTCTCATAATGAAACAAGGAATGGAAAATATCGATGCGACAGCTGCAAGAAAGAATTCAGTTTGAAGTATAATTTAAAACATCACGAAAGGATTCACACCGACGAAGGGCTCTTATCTTGCCAATACTGTAATCGTAAATATAACAGTACCGGTTACTTAAATCAGCACGTCAAGATTCACACCGGAGAGAAACCCTTTACCTGTGATCATTGCAAACGAAGTTTTACACGAAAACAAATATTGATTGAACATCTCCGAACTCACAGAGGAAAGAAGCCTTTGTCGTGCATTTATTGCCTTCAAAAGTTCAGTTTTAAATCTGGTTTAAATTATCATATTGTGAGAGTAGCCAAGGACGTAGGTCTCAATCTACGCCACTTACGGGCACTAGTCGGTAAGACCAGTTCTCTAACTTTAATAGGAGAGCGTTATCAAAATTGATTCGAACGGCGAAGTTCAGATGCTCGTCAGGTTCCCGACACCAGTTAATCAATCTTATTATACGCGGATTAACACGCGTATGAGATCTGATTCGGTCACACAATTAGGAGACATTTTAGTTGGAAACGAAATAATAAATTTAATAAACAAGAAAATAAATCATACAAAAGGTGGATAAACGAGAGACAGAACTACCACAACCAATATACACATCGGTAGATAGCTATACTTATATTCTACCCTAGTCGCGATCGAGAGAGAGCTCACAAAAATCGTTATAAAACATACGACCTGTTTCAGTTGTCGTTCGTCTTCTTCTCTGTATGCAAGTTCAGTTACTTCTTCGTATGGGAGATCAATACGTGCACACATATAAAAGTATATTTCCTACGTGCAGACTTATTCCGTATGTGACTCGTCTGAGGACGTTGGTCATCAGGAGGGAAACGTATGTGGAGTTTGTATGCTTTCGGATCTGTCGCTGAACTCCCCGAATTCAGACAAGTTCCCTCTATATCTTCTGAATGCCGACCAATCATCGGCCAGTAACTCTTTCGTGAGAACGGATGAAAGGGGGGATGAATGAGGGGTAACCATTTCCCATCTGAGCTGGATTTTAACCAGATAAGGGAAAGTCAGAGGATGTTCTCTTCTGTGAAAGGAAGTAACATCTGTTATCTGGGTTTTTCCCACGTTAAAACAGTATTTTTCTCACAAAAATTAAAGTAATATTTGATGACATTATTTTAACGTAAATAATAAAATATTAATTTAGACCCAGGGGCCTTTCGGGTCTCACATTAATAATAAACATCACAATAATAAGAATTTTACATGATTTTTCTGTTTCTATAAAGGAAACAGAAAAAACACAAATGGATAAAAATGATCGTGTTGTTGCGTTTGTTTGAAAAAATATTGAATAAAATATAAACACGCATATTAAACATAAATCTTCAAAATTTGCTGTTTTTATTTTCTTGATTTTTATATTGTATTTGAAACGTTTCATTTTGTGAATTTGAACAAAATGTATTGTAAAAGTATTGTTAATAAATGGAAGTTTAATTAAAATAGTAAAAAAAAACAACGTTCATTTAGATGATGTAAACTTTCTAATTGATCTTTTCCATTTACCATTAGTTTTCAATTGGTCTGTAGCCATTGTGTATTGAAAACTGTGACGAAGGCGATGGAGAGCTTTCGTTACATCTCCGGTTAAGCGCTTGTATGACTTCTTAGGTGTTTCACCAACATTGCATAATCGTGGTATTTGTAAATCCAGTGATTATACTAATACCGAGATTACTGACACGAGGATTTCACTAATAAAATTTAACGAAGAATTTCTAAATCCCGAGATATTAAGAACATGATTAGTGAATCCAATCATGACACTAGCGTTGCTAGAAAATTTTTTTTCATGTTACTTGATTGGATATTTTGAAAGAATTATTACGCACTTAGATAAAAACATGGCAGATAGCAAGAAACCAAGTCGACAACCCAATTTTTCTAATCGATAAACGGTATATTTAACGGAATTTATCGATAAGTACAAAGATATAATAGAATCAAAAGTAACTGATGCCATATCTTTTCAAAAATCGTTTTTTTTTTCTCCCTATGGACGAGATAAGTCGGGCAAAGTTTATTTTACATTTTATTGGATGTTGTTTATGATCTCAGAAAATTTTGAAATTATACACCCAATAAAAGTTATATTTTGGACCATTTTTGTGGTCCTCACCTATTGAAAGAGTATACATGATCGAAAATTTCGTGATATATTTGAGTGTTTACGGTAACTGATGAACATCTGTCTAGAAACCTGTCTTCGCCTGAAGCTTTCATGGAAATATCCCGCCAACGTTGACAAACAGCTGTTCTCAAGGACATTAAGCTCAGTACACCAAACTGCGGCGCGTGTCAAGTGATCTGTTACTAGTTTTTCTTATGTGAAAGATAGTACTATGGCTACACACTCAGAAAACAAATTAATGGAAAAAATAACCAAGTTAAAATGAAACGAGACTGGAAGAAAATATAACAGCCAACAAATGCTGGAAAGCAATCAAAGAACTAGGCGAAAATAAATCTCCAGGTCCAGATGGCCAAAGTAAAGTAAGGAATTCTACAAAGTTTTTTCAGACAGCTGTCCAAACCTTTGACCATCCTCTTTAATGAAATAGTTAAAAACGGCATTCCTCATTCGATGTACAAAGGGGTAATCAAACTGATTCCAAAGAAAACCGATGCAACTCGATTACACGAATATAGACCGATCACACTCCTAAACGTCGATTATAAAATTTTGGCAAAAATAATATGAAATAACAAACCAGACAAATTAAAAAGACACACGATGGTTAACAAAGTGCAGGACAGAGGAATGAACATGACCCATATGGAGACAAAAATTAAAACTCAAATTCTCAATCATTTCAAAGAACTAATTATGGGAGACAATAAGCTGTGGGCACCGTTAGCCACGTACTGGATAGGAATGAAATTACGAAATAGCAATAAATCCTTAAACTCAAATCTAAGAGCGAGAAGCTGGATACCATCACTCTCCTATCAGGAAGCATCCAAAATATTTATAGAATTCGTAAACGGGTAAACAGACACAGACTGGGAGAAAAGTAATATTAAGTCCCTCTACCACACCTTATTAAATAGAATAAAAAAAGAATCACATATTGTAAAAAAAGTCCAAATGTAGATCACAAGAAAAAATGGCAGCTCATCAAGAAAATAAAAACCACGATAAAAAAAAATACGATAAAAAAAATATAAAAACCCGAAAAATACCGATATGCACTGGTTAATGTCTCACGATCTCGTAGCTACCAGGCACTTCCTCCACTCTCCTCACATAGTATCTCAACCTCATTCACTGTGCAAAGCGTGGAAAAAATATGATCTAGTGTAACATATTTGTTGAGAACATGCAATAATAAAAAGGTAAACGAAGAAAACCCTATACATCAATTACGCAACGAATAGAACAGTGTAAATATTTTTGTAAATAGACTATTGTTTGTTTAGGGGGAAAAAGCGTTGGGCCCGCTCAGCACTCGGGACGAAGCTTATGTAAGTCGAATTGTAAATTTCTTAAATGTAACTACGTAATTAACTACTCAATACTGTATTTATTATTGTAAATTTTACTATGCATTTATTATTTATTTTGTATAATCCGGTTTGTCGTTTCGATTGCATTTTAATGGTACAGTACTGTAAATAAACAACGAACACTACGTAAATGTAGTGGTAGCAAACAGGTTATGTATTAAATAAACTACATTAGTGACTGGTAATTATTATCAGTGAATCTCACAATTTTGGTCAATAGAAAATAACGAATCGAATAATTCATAATAAATGATTTATAATAATAGAGAACCGATTCAAACACAAATTTTCCTCGTTTTAACGCTCATTTCGATGGTTTGTGGCTATTTAGCTCCAACATTAATAATATTTGCATTAATAAATCGAATATTAATAATACTTCACTGTTATTCATTTTTTCAACAAAATCCCAATAAAAGATTACTTTTTGTACTTTACTTTTAGAAATTAAACATTTTAAAATTTTAATCAGGTGGCGCCAATTGTTCTTTTTTTAAACAAAATTGACGGTTGCGTTATGTATTTGAGAAGGAAATGGAGGATGGAAGTAAAGAACTGGTAAAGTATATTTTCTGTTGTAATTATTGAACGGAGTGAAACTTCTTGTCTTTTTTATGTTCTTCGCTGTATTTTATGCAACGAAATACCCATACGTGCAATATAATATTAACTTATTGGCATCCATATGTAATTTATATATTTATTTCGTATTTTTGGTATATAACAAAGATGTTTTTTAGTTGAACTTATTTTTTCGAGTATTAAATTTATTTTACTTTCTATTACTTTTTTAATTCTTTCAAATAACTTTGGTACATACATTACTTTTACAAATTTTTTCTAATTATCTATTAATTTTTCTGTTTGTTGATCTTTTTCTAATTTTTCTATCCATTTTTGCAGTAAAAATTTTGTAGGTACATTTTAATTATTTCTTCCTCTTCTTGTTTCTGGGTCTCTGTTTCACTTGTTCTTTATTTTATTTTTTCCGTATACATTTTAAATATATTAAATTTCATACTAATAGGAATAATAGATTTGTAATTAATTATTTTTGGGAATCTGTGTCGGTTTTACATATTTTTTGTAAATTAATCTATCTTTTCTTCTTTCAATTGTTAGATCTAAGTAATTAATGCTATTCTGCTTCTTTATTTTTATTTCGAATTAATGTTTTCTGTTATCTGGTTAGCCTTTTTAAAAATTATATTTTAACTAAAAAACATCTTTATTATAGAAACGACCGAAAATACGAAATAACAAACAAAAAAAAGGTGTTAATTGTAGTTGTAACCAGAAGAAAACGTATATTGGGGAAACAAAAAGAAAACTAAAAGTAAGGTTAAAAGAACATTCGTGCAATCAAAGGGTATTATGCAAATTCCGCGATAGAGGAACATTGTAATTTAAAGGGATGTGAAGTGGATTAGAACGTAGTAAAAATAAAGAAAAAAAGAGAAAAACAATTATAAAAGACAATTGTACGAACACATCTACATAGTTAAACAAAAATATAGATCATGGAACAGCATCATCTAATAGAGAGCGAGAGAGAAAATGAATAAAAGGAGAAATCAAGTAGGGTTAAATCCAATGTTCATTATTTTTAATTAATTAATATTGATTAAAAAGCGGGAATATGTTTGAATTGCAGTAAATATTGTCGTTTTCGAGGAGATCCTTAAAAACACAGGGATTGCAAGTTTTAGATTATTTTATTGTCAGGAATTTTCATGCTTTTTCTAAATAAATAATTTTGTAACAACTTTAAATTGAAATGTTTAGAGATTGTCGATGGTAAACCAGCTGATGAGGGACCAATAGCATCTAAACACTAAGATATCATTTATGTATTCAGGTGATAAATAAAGACAGTTTTTCTGACTTTGTTTACTTAATTTGCAGAACCAGTTATCCAGTATAATAAGTCGTATTAATAGATATGTCCTAGATGGCGTTTTAAGTTTAAATTAATTTCAGTACTCCTTAGTCACATTGGTTATTCGTCAATAAACCTTTTTATCAGTGATTACCAAAATAAGTTAATATATTTGGCAAATTATTGCTAATTTTAGCTTCACACTAACAGTTAGTTTCGTCTTCGATAATCAATAGAATCAATACAATTTATTAATCTAACATAATGATCTACCATTTTGATTAAAGATGAGAATCTCTTTGCTGATTATATTACAAGGAAAACACAGAAGGAAGATTTCTTACGAAGCACAAGTCGAGATTTCTCAGACATTTCTTATGTGGAAAGGAATTTAATGTGTGCAAATTCATATACTTTAATTAATAAGGAATATTAACACGAATCTCTTTCTTTTTCAGGTTTTCGATGAAGGTTTACTTTTCTGGGGCAAAATGTCTAAGAATTTCCAGCATTATTAGTTTTAGTTTTAACATTTTCAATTTGATTTATATAATAATGTTTAACCTCATTCTCGTATCTTGTTTTACAGAGCTTTTTGTTATTTACAGATCCATTATTCAACAATTCAGAGAATTTCTAGTAAGAGCTGAAGAATGTGTTAAACTTTTGTTTACGGAAGACCAAAACTGAAACCAGTGATAAGAAATAATACAAAAATGCATCAAAGGAGAAAGTATATTTCATGCAAAGGACGAAAAGCAGAAAATTAAATGAAGATGATTATCTATATATTTTTGTTGCAAACAGCATATAAATTGTGTATAAAAAATGTATAAATAGCATTTTAATTTGTGATAGTATTTATGCCCGTTGGTAATATATGTAAACATTGGTGTACGCTGTTAGTGTTTGTTGTGGTGAAATCAGGGAATATGTTGTAACACTTAAATTTTAATTTAAGGAAATTCGTGGAAAAATTGCAAATTAGTTTTCTATCTGCACACAAAACGTTATAGTGCTTAAATTTAGATATTTTATTTTGAATAGATTGAAGATACTTTTGATCTTTAGATAGTGCTTTTAAATTTATATTTTATCGTATTTTACAGGTTTAAATAATCAGAAGTCAACGAATCGGAAGTATCGATGTGACAGTTGCAAGAAAGAATTCGCTTCGAAGTCCAATTTAAAACGTCATCAAAGGATTCACACTGGAGAACGGCTCTTTTGCAAATTCTGTAATCGTCAGTTCCTCCATCCCAGCAGTTTACGGTACCACTTCAAGACTCACACCGGGGAGAAACCCTTTAGCTGTGATCATTGCAAACGGAGTTTTACACAGAAAGGAAATCTGATTGAACATCTGCGAACTCACACCGGGGAGAAACCATTTACCTGTGATCACTGCAAACGGAGTTTTGCACAGAAAGGAACTCTGATTCAACATCTGCGAACTCACACAGGGGAGAAACCCTTTACCTGTGATCATTGCAAACAAAGTTTTGCACATAAAGGAACTCTGATTCAACATCTGCGAACTCACACAGGGGAGAAACCCTTTACCTGTGATCATTGCAAACGGAGTTTTGCACAGAGAGGAGATCTGATTCGGCATCTCCGAGTTCATACAGGGGAAAAGCCATTTTCGTGTACTTATTGCTTACAAAAGTTCCGTTTTAAATGTAGTTTAAATCATCATATTATTACATATCATAATAATAATGAATAACGGTATTTGATTCGGAGGAAAGTGTTAACAAAAGTATTTTTGTATTAATATTCGTATTTAGATTTTATTCAACTTAAAAACAAGGAACGTTTGAAGTTTTATTTTCTTCATTTGTAATTTTTATATTTTGTAAAATACATTTGATTTTATGAAGAAAACTGTTAACAAAAGTATTTGTTTGTATTAATATTCGTATTTAGATTTTATTCAACTTAAAAACAAGGAACGTTTGAAGTTTTATTTTCTTCATTTGTAATTTTTTTATTTTGTAAAATACATTTGATTTTATGTAATCGAACAAGAAATGTTTCGTAAAATTATTTTTTAATAAATTGAAATTTAAAATACATTGTCTTAAGTACGTGTATCATTTAGTCCGGTAGAGTCCAATTCCTTTATTCACCAATAACTCGTTTGGTGTCGCTATAATAATCCTATCCAAAAATCAAACGAAATTGTAATCTTATTTATTCGCAATGATCTGTTGTTTTTTATCGTCATAGAGGAATCGGAAATCAAATACACTGCATTGTATATTGTATGATTAACAGTGAAATTTATTTAAAATCTTAATGGAGCATTTTTGAATCGGTAAGATCTGAGCGGAGATGCTAATTGGTTAAGCTAGTCGTACTTTGTGTGAAATTGCTCTCTAGCCAAAGTAGGATTAGCCCTCAGCACAAAAATCTTTGCAGTAAAAATTTTATGCTAGATGTCCTTTTACTTTTTCAGCTATTATGTCTAGATAAGAAGGAAAAGCTATTTTATTTTATTTATTTTTTATTACTAGGAGATGAGCCTGGCGTTGCTCGGACAAAAAATAACAATAAATATTAATATTATTTGATTCTTTCGTACTTTAACCCTTCTATTATATTATATTATAGTTTTTGATCGTTAACTACGAATGTTATCTCTATGAAACTGTTTCATTTATAGCCGAATATCAAATGGACATCTGACAACGAATCAAATTTCGCGAAAAACCAAATATTTAAAATTGGCACCCTGCAAAACCACTTAAATCATGTTTTGTGCTGGCCGATAATCACGTATTTTGAATTTTTCAATTTTACTGTCACCAGATCGCTGGTCTGATCGAAATAAGGGCCGTTGCAGAAGAAAGGGGTTCAAGTAATTCGAGTAAAAGTAGTCGTTGACCTCCGGAAGACAGGATGGTCAACCACTACTATATAATACTGTCTACTATTATTATTTGAAAAGTGATCCGTGTTGGAAAGGTTAAGATAACTCCGCACGTGATCGAGTTGCTAATTATAATGTCCGAGAAACTTCCTATGACTCGTTTAAATAAAAAATCTGATAAAACTGTGAGATGATTGCTTTTATGTTATATCTACGCAAAAACGCCTTATTTCATTGAGAATTATTTACGAAATATTAACCGTAACGAACGTTTTTAACTTTACCCAACGTTTTCATCTATTTTATTTTGTTATTTTAAATTATATATATTACTGTAAAATAGTCTTTGGATTCAAATAGCTCAATATTCCATACAATTTTATATTTTAATTATTTTATGTTATAGTAAAGTGTTTATATTTTTGCCACAGATTGTATAAAATGTGTGAGAAGTATGTTCTCGTAAATATCACGTTTATAGAAAAATTGTGACAAATTTGAAAAAAATTGTTCACCTATAATTTTTCACTGTTGTCCATCTGTGTGTATGGCTGTCTGTTCTTATTCAATCTCGGAAAAGGTGTTAGATACATGAATGTCGAGACCGGATGGCGAAAGCTTCACAATAAATAATCTCTCGTAAGAATTAGTTTGGTTTATTTGGTTGCTGTAACGAAACACGCGAGCGGTCTGTCTATGAGTATGCATCCTAGAATTAATTTTATAGGAAGCTGGACCCAATTTAGATAAAGAAAACCCGGAAAACTATAAGCGGCCTGCCTGTTGGCCATGCCCGAACCCACGACTAATTAACTACCAGATTTCGGTGGTTTTATGCACTCCGCTACTGGAGGAGGCTTATTAGAATTAATGGAAATGTTTCGTCCACTGTTGGCTTCCATCTCCAGTTATTTATACATACACGAAGTGAGGAGTCGTTATAATTTAGCACCCCGTAAAGATTTAACCCGAGTTAGAAGCTATGGCTGCGCTTTAAACAGGGAAGATTTTCTAGTTACAAGATGTATTATTGCTTCGAGAAATGAAAATTACTTCGTCAAATAGTTAATAAATAAATAACATCGATTCAATAAATTTTAGTAGAGAAAAGCGTAATTTCCTTTAAAGATTTTCAAGGCATTTTACAACAGAAAAAGTAATTTCTCAACAGCAACCTTATGCTAAGAAAATACAAACAGAAAAAGTAAATTGAGAGCGCTGAATTTAAAAAAATAATAATAAAGTTGAAACGTAAAGTGAAAGGAGAATAAAGGGTTCTTTTAGCGTCAAGAATCTGTAAATTTATGAATAAAATGGAAATTACTATTTGGTTCGCTAAATACACGCGCAATATGGTGACCATTTCTTTCGTAAACTTCGCCAAAAGAAAAACAAACGAAATAAAATAATGATAATACACAAGCCAAACGGACAAAGCGCTTTACTTTTGGTACGAGTATTACGAATCAATTTGGTAATATAATCGAACGGAACGTTAAATTTCTATTCTTAAAAATAAATACGCGATAATGGCGAAATTTTCTACATTTTCACCACTCTCGTTACTTTAGTAAGAATTTCCAAGCAATCTCTAGTTACACGTGGAGACTGTGTTGTCAGATTTAAAAAAAAATAAACAATACGATTAAAAGAACAAGAAAAATAATTTCTCGTTCCCAACAAATTTCTTTTATTTATTTCTACGACTTGTCTGTTTTGCTTCTTCTGTGGAGTATTTTGCTTTAAAAAACGGTTTTTAATACATTAGCTTTGATACGCGATTTGAAATTATAAGAAAGGCCTTTAGTAATTGGCCTTTACGGTTTCTATCGTATAGTTTCACTAGTCCTACGGGTGGGTGTTAAAGGCATTAATTATTCGATAAGAGTTTTTCTGAGGTTGAGAAATCAACCAGTGGCACTTAAAGTACCTAGATTATCAGAGTAGCGACAATGGATTCTCAAATTTTATATTGGTTAGTTATATCACGTGGTTAAAATCCGCCATGTTCTGACAAAAAGTGCGCGTGGCTCTGTATATTTTGAATCGTAAGTGTTTTTTAAAGTTGTTTATAAAGAAATTTAGAAGTTTTTGAACACATTTGACAACAGGTAAGCATGAATTTGCTATACTTTTATGTTTACGTTCATATTTAAGCTTTAATATAAGGCAACAAATAAAAAAAATCGATAGTTAGCGTAGCTGTTTACATTAGATCCGATATCCGTTTAAGCAATGTTATTGAAACGAAGAAATATATATAAAGTGTTTTTGTATTGTACAAAAATAAATACAAAAATAAGTACAAAAATTAGTGTAAAATAGCAAAATATAACCAAAATTTAATTTTCTACTAAATTTTCCGAAATTATTTTTCCTTAGATAACAGTCCATCCACGAAGAATGTGTTTGTTTAAAGAACTTTTTGTATTTATCTAAGCCTAAATACTTATATTTTGCATATTTCTTTTGCTAGAATAACTTAAAAATTATTGTTCCAGCAAATAAAGCTTATCTGACTGGAGTACTGTAATAATTATGCTGTACTGTAGTTTTGTTCTAACATAATAAATTATATAGATGAAAGAGAAATTGTCACAAACCTTAAACATATAAACATACTGCTATAGAAAAGTATTATTTACAATAAAACTAAGCATTTACATATACTGTAGTACCTAAAAAATCAGTTTGTTATTCTGCTCAAAACATATTTAATTCTATTACTTGTAAGATTTCTTTAATGCATCTTGTACAATAACAATACAAAGACACACTAGTACTTTGGACCTTATTGAAAGGCAGCATTTGCAGCATTTATTTGGTAAAGCTAATACAATTTAAAGGCATATAAAAGCTCATCATACAAATGATTCTTTTACATATTATTGTTATTCTGCTGAATGTATTAAAGGCATCTTAAAAGTCGTTTTGAATCCAGTTTTAGAACATACCCTTTAATTTTATTATGCAGATATCACCGAAATAATGCCTGGATGTTCAACTTATGGTTGTTCTAATTCTTCTGTAAAAGGATATATCGTGAATGTTTTTCAAGAGATCCCGTTCGGAGAAAAATTTGGAGTAAAAAAGTGCGCCAAGAAAATAGGAAAACTACAAAGAATTTTTGTTTGCGTAAAGTTCATTTTGAACTACAAATATGGGAAAACGTGAGAATTGATGGGAAGAAGAAATTAAAGCATAATGCCTTCCAACTTTGTTTTCATTTACAAAACAAATTATTCACAGGAAACTACAAAAAGGAAGATCCTCGACTGTTATAAAACAAGTAAAAACTGCAAAAGTTACTTCTCCAGTACATACTACTCATACTACTGTTAA